TTGTTGTTTTTTTTATTTATCTATTTCTTAAAATAAAGATATGGAATGTTCACCTTAAAATCAATTGTTTTGATAAACCATAGTTATCTTGAATATCTAGCTGTTTTTTTGCTTTGCACGAAATTCGTTTTGAAATTGTATTCATCATATTAAATGAATATGTAATATTGTAAATGGCAATTAACTCATATTGCAAATATTAAATGATTTTAACATTTGACGCGGTAAAATAAATCGTCCGATTAGCTACATGTATTTTATGCGACTCATGTCAAGTTCAAAATATGTAAGGCAAAAATCCACAAATTATATCCTGCTTTTATACTTGTTCACATAGAAAATGCTATTGGCATTGGAAGCTTATATCGAAGCTGAACTGCAATTATTACTTCCGATACGAAGTTACTTTTTCTCAATCGATCGATATAGTATTAGTTACAGTAAGGCTTAAGACGTACCCGGAATTAAGACCACCCCGCTATTAAGATCGTTTTTTTTAAATCAATGGTTTCTTGATCCAGAATTAAGACCACCTGCTTATCCACCATTAAGACCATCATATTCAGTTCCATTTTTATTCCTTATTTGACCTCAGTATTGAGAACATATTAAAGTCAACAACTTCCAAGATCTTACAGTGGTTGTTATTATCTGCCGCTTTAATGGTCTTACGCATGGATCTTGATTTCACAAGGTGTCAAGAACGACACATTACTATTGGGTTATTATATGGAATAGGGTGAGAAAGAAAACTTGAGAGTGGTTTACTGATGCATTTTGTTGAAAATGAAGCTTTGTTTTATAGGTGAACTATGTACATTAAATAATAATTAATATTAAAATCAGACCTAAAGAAATGTTTTTCCTCTCATCAGATTGAATATAATAAATTGAACTTTATATTGTATTTGCTATTGTATTTGATACATTTGGTTTGTTCATAAAAATGACAATATACCATGGTCACAAAGTATGTAAGTAATGATAAGAATATCAACAACTGAGACCAACTCGCAATTAAGACCACTTTTGTTCCGATGGTGTTCTTAAATGAAGGTTTTTTTAATGAATCAATGCAGTTATTCAGTAAATAAAAATGTTCATTTGTATAAGATAATTGAAGTTAAAAATAACAACTTATCTGTCTCAAAGAACAATTTAAGTAACTCATTGATTTTGTCTTATATATTGTAGATATCATTTGCAATTCATCTGCAAAAGCAACATAAATTTGTTACTGCAGTCTGTATTAAATTTATATATTTCATTTCTTTGTGTGTATCCTTTGTATAATAAATGAGAAACTTGTAAACTTCGAATGAAAACATACATGAGATTAATAGATGCATTTACGGTTATTTTTATAAAAATACGGGCTTTATGTGCTTCTTAAATTATGTATTTATGAAGCTAGTTATGCTACTGTCACAAACAATTTCTTCTCTTTATATCAGATTTTCAATCTATGAAAGCAAGTTAGTCTTCGATGGACATGTTTTCCGTTAGTATGACAAATATTTTAAACACAATAAAAGTATTTCATTTCATTTTGATAATATTATTATTAAAATATTTCTTTACATTCTTCATAGATTTCTAAAGAGATCAAGTTTGAAAATTTATAGGATGTGTATAATGTTTTAAATGTAAATCGTATTTTACTTTAGAATATAACTTATATTATATGCGCTGGTTACATTGATATTCACAGGATTAAACAAGTATAATATAGTTTATCGTAAGATACAAGTCATATAATATTAACTCACTTTATCTAACCAAAAAGAACAAATTCATAGAATGATTATGTACGTACCATGCATGTTGTTACATAGTACCTAATATCTAATAATACCTTCAAGGACAGTATTTATGAATACAAACCTTAAGTATGCTTCCTATCGTTTGATTAATGTGTTTATCAAGAATATTTATTAAAGAAAGCAATGTACATATGCATTAGATCATCTCTTGTTACATAGTAACAAACTCCATAAGAAGGAAGGGGTATTTAAATTTCCTTCTCATTATTGTTAAGTAGACATTTCCTTGTTAACCCTTGTGTATCGGACTGTCAGTTACATTTCTCAGGGAGAAAGAATCAATTTTAATGTGTCATTTTATACTATCCATTTCTTTATTATTCTTGTTTATGAATCAAATTTAAAGCACAGATATATTGAAATAACCATACCATTGTTACACGTTATTTAAAAATATGTTTGTTGTGAAGCTTGTTGTATTACAACGAATGTTTTCAAAAATATGTATTTAATAGTTCGATGTTATACCTCTACCTGAATTTCGGATAATCCTCTTGTGCTACAATTTTGACAATGTGTCAAAATATGTTGTTACGAGCACTGTTATTTTTGACTGGAGCTAAACGTAAGTTTTATTTATAATAATGGAATTGTTCAGAATAAAAACAAACAGCAAGACAAAACTCAATCTAATGGACGTTTGACAAAGGTTACTATATATTTTACATTTAAAGCAGCATGGCTCTAGATTTATGCTACTTGTCCCCCGCCTTTCGAAGAAAAAGGGGGATATAGAAATAGACTCCGTCCTACTGTCCGTCCGTCTTTCCGTCCGTCCGTCACACTGTCGTGTCCGGTCCATAACTTTGTCATTTATCAAAGGAATTTGAAATAATTTGGCACAAATGTTTGTTATTATAATAAGACAAGGTGTTATGCGCAACAACCAGACTCCTACCTCCAGGGTCAAGGTCGCACTTGCTCATTCAAGGTCAACATTGTCTATTTTAGGGTATATGTCGTGTTCGGTCCATTACTTTCTTAATTCTGAAGGGATTTTGTAAATACTTGCCACAATTGTTCACGATAATAAGACAGTGTGTCATGCGCAAAACCGGTCACCTACTTCCAAGGTCAAGGTCACACTTGGAGGTCAAAGATTAACATGGCCTGTTAAAGGGTATATTTTGTGTCTGGTCAATAACTGTTTTATAGATCAAAGGGTTTTGAAAATACTTGGCACAAATAGTCACTATAATAAATCCATGTGTCATGTGCAACACATGAATCCCTAACTCCAAGGTCAAGGTCACACTTAGAGGTCAAAAATTAACATAGTCTGTTAAAGGGTATATTTTGTGTCCGATCTCTACCTTTTTATAGAGCAAAGGATTTTGAAAATACTTGGCACAAAAAGTCACTACTACAGGTCGACGTGTCATGCGCAACACCTACATTCCTACTTCTAAGGTCAAGGTCTCACTTAGAGGTCAAAATTTAACATAGTCTGTTATAGGGTAGATAGATTCTTAAATTCCGAGTTTCATTTTTATTTCTTTAATATTTTTATTGTTGCATTTGCATATCTAGCATTGATAATAATTTTGGACAGAAAGTCCTGAGATCCATACCTCAATCTTTTGAAATAGCACAATTTTATGCTTCATATGAAACTTCCCTGAGGCGGGGGACATTGGTAGCACTGCTACAAATTCTTGTTATATTAATTATTATGATATTAATTTGAAAAATGTATTTAAGATTTTGTCCAGTGAATTAAGAAAGTAATTTTCACATTGCAATCGCCACTAGGAACCCACGATGTAAATTATCAGAAGGAGGTCAAAATACGCAAAAAAGTCCTGACTGCGTTAGTCATGCTGAAATATTATTATACATACCGAAAAATTAGTCACTGACCTCACATATTGTTTACTTTAGTTGATTTGTTTTTTTTAATTTTCTTTAATTTTCTTGAAACTTTAGTACTTTTCTTTTTTCAAGTTTGATTTTTTTTTAATATTTTGGCTCCACTTGAGCTTTAAAATGTACTTTTAGTATAGTTATGTGTACGGCCCGTCCCATCTTTGCACTTAAGACTTCTTCCGTTTTTTATTTTTTTGTGGTTGTTGTTGTTGTTGTTGGATATCCTTCTTGGCTCATTTCCGGCCTGCACTATTTGAACGTCTCTTTTCTTTCTTGATCTCCTTTTGACTATCTGTTATGTCTAGGAATCATGTGTGACTTCGAGGTTTATTGGTTCATGAATATGCGAATAATCTTTGAAAATCCCTTTACAGATATAGTTTTAGATAGCCCAAATATTTCACCAGATAACAATGACGTATTGGTAGACAGCAGCTTGGAGCTGGAGTGTAATACTCTCGGAAATGCAACAGTGACGCAATGGGGAACTTTAAATCATCTGGACACATTTGCACACCTGTATTTCTCACGAGAAGGAGAATGTTCAACAGACGGATTCCTTGCTGATAATCGTTATTTTGAAACAAGTTGTTTTAGTAATGGTACTTTCAAAGTTAATATAAAGCGTATTAATATAAGTAACCATGGTCAAGAATGGTATTGTTCTCAAGGGTATGGGAATAGCAATATTGCTTACATTACTGTTCGAGGTAAGGATTAATTTAATGTATTTTCCTTTGTATATAGTAAAGGCAACGATCTGAAAACCAACTTTAGTCATATATCAAAACCTTAAAACTTTATTGTTGACTATGACATTGATTGTTGTCAATTGTACAAGAACAATCACAATTAGGGAAAGTTACGTCATATTAATATAGTATGCCGTTTTAGAAGACAACACACAAAAGTTTTTAAGTTTTTTCCGTCTAAATTTATATCAAAACTATGGTTATTTAACTTTTAAAATTACTTTATAAATCAACTATCGCACATTGAACAAAGTGAAACTAATTACTACATCAGCACAACAACCTTTGATTTACCACCCATTGTCTTGGCATGTTTCAACCGCTTGAGCACGAACAAAATATTTATCTGTCATTAAAGAAGATTTATGTTTTGTATGCTTGTTTTAGAACAATTGACAATTTTAATGAGTAACTTTATATTTCAGCATCTTTATCAGATCAATAACCAAAGAATAAGTTCACAAAAAAGATTTCCCTTTGTGTTTGTGTTACCGATAAATAAATGTGTACTACTATGTATTCAGCAATCATTCTGTATATAATTATGATATTCGTAATACAAACAGATTATTGTTTTAATTAATCATGAACAGTTATTTAAGGTATAATGAAAGTGTACATTATAGTGATTACTGTGCAAACAGACTACTACTATAGCATTTATTTTGACGTATGAAATACATAGCGTATGTTCACATAATGTATGTTTCATAAGATACGCTTCATATACCACTTTTTCAGCTCCAGCAAAGAGTGTTAATATTGCATTTCACTATAATAACAAAATGTATATAGAGGAAAATGAAATGCAAACTATCAGTTGTAATTCCTCGTCATGCTTTCCAAAACCGATAGTCAAATGGTACCTTCGAAATTCAACTGTTACAGAAGAGATAACAAACCTTTCGAGACAATCCTATATTTCACAGAAAGACGGGTTGACATCAGCTGAAAGTATAATTCATCTTCTTCTTAATAGGACACACGACAGTTGGTATCTATATTGTGAAGTATGGACAGGATTGGCATATTTCGACATTGCAAGCAAAGAAATTTTACTAAATGTGACATGTACGTAATTAAACAAACATTACAAACATTTGATTATACTGATCTTTTTTGCATAAAGAACTATCATTTTCTTAATATTTTTAATAATACTTTCATGATTATTTTATTAGTATCATCATTATAATTCATTAGTATTACAATTATTTTATAATTATTATTTTATAAGGATATAAAGATGACATAATATGATATGATTTGAAATATTGAGCATTTATTTATCGATATCACTAAAGATCAACCTGATGGCCCTCCAATTATAGTTGGCTATGAACAGGACAAGATATATCAGATTGTTGAGTCAGAATCGGTAAAACTGAATTGCACCGTTACTGGAGGTAAACCATTTGCAACCTTAAAAATGGCTTGTTTCAACACTAGTACAACACAAAACACTGTCACGACAGAGACAACGGTAACTATACAAATTGCATGTAAGGCAATACGCAATCACAGTAATTGCACATGTCAGTCTGATCATATCGTTGGTGGTACTCAGAAAACATACATCAGTTTTGATGTCCTGTGTAAGTGTTACATAATATACTATATTTCTCTTTTTTGCATTTTTTCACATCAATAGTATACTAATATTTAAACCATTTATAGCTTAATGAAACTTTAAAAGAAAATCTTTGTTTTTTCGTATGTATAAAAATTATTTCAGTAAATCATATTACACATCAGAAATAATATGTTGACATTGTTTTGATGAGTATGCAGTAATATTGTTTGAGCAATATATACTAGTATACATATAAGTTGCTAACTTTGAGTAGGTCTTTAGGTATATGTACGAAATAATTTCAGGCAAATTTAAGGAAGGGGTAAATCAGACTAATGTAAATGTGTGCCGTTCATTTCAGTTCCTCCAAGTAATATTAACTTCGCCATACTAGGAAAGAAATCAGAATCAGAACAGTTAGTTGTCAAGAAAAATGAAGAAGTGACTTTAGAGTGCATTGCCGAGTCTAATCCTTATCCAGAAATAGTAATCAGAAATGAAATGAACGAAAATATTGCTTGGAAGATAAACAATATTTCTGTTCAACATACTATTGATAACGTATCTTGCTCTGATGCGGGAGAGTATTCGTGTTCTGCTCGAAACATATTTATTTTTGGACAAGGAGTTAAATCAAGACTTATTCTCATTGTCAAATGTAAGTTCTGACGCTACTTTATGTTTATTGAATTATACGATTCATTTATTTAATTTTTTTGTAATGATTTACGCGCTCGACTGTTTTAACTAATTCTCCATCCCCAGCTTGCCTTCCATTAGAATTTGATATGTCTTTATGAAAGAAACAAAATTGCTATTGATAACTTTAGAGAGACCTTGTTTTATTCACATTGGTTTATACAGATTTTCTTTTTCAGTTCGATTGTGTATGAAGCTATAAGATTATAGCCACACTTTCAAATGCGTTCCTGTAACCAATAAGTACTGAGCAATGAGTGAAAAGTTTTTTGCTCAAGGAAACAAAGCCTTGCCCCTGACGTGGTTTGAACCCATGCGGCTAGCAGTCATTAGATTGCTTAGATCAAGATGCGTTTACCACTCGGCCATGTCGCCACTTCATATTATTCATACTAAAGTGGCAAGTGTAAATAATCAGTGAACAAGTAAAATTAAAACAACTTAAAATTTAGCCAAAATTGTATTCAGTTTTATTTTAACTATAACAATGAAAAAATTATCAACAATACGCATTAGCAGCAAATAAAACCTATGATTTATCGTTCTAAATGCATAAGAGAATGGGACAGTCTATTTAAAATTGAGGTAGTGTATTATGTTGTAAACATTTTTTTTTCATTATCTTTTATATTTTGTCATCCTTATAATAGTTATATTTCAATATATTTCTAATTCAACTAAAGTTGACAGCTAAATGAATGAGTACAGTGTTTCTTTTAGCTGAAACTGTGTACTGAATTATTATTTATAAAAACATTATGAGGGATAATGGTTATTTTCGGCACCTTGTGATCTTATGACTCTCATGTTTACAGGTCCACCTAGGCCATCAGCTGACAACTTAAAAGAAGGAAAGTTAGCTGTTGTCCTTCATTCTGATGTTACGTTGCAATTCCTAGCTCAAAACTATTTTGACGAGGAAAATAACACTATATTCACATGGTATAACCAGAACTCGTCGCTACAGAATGGCGGTAGGAAATACATTATTTCTTCGCTTGGATTACAATCCACCTTAATAGTTAGAAACGTGACGCAGACAGACTATGGGCAATACCATGTTGAGGTCAGGAATTCAGCTGGTTTTTACATTCACTACTATGAATTGCAAACAAAGGGTAAATACTTATGTATTTAGACACTTTTTATGATAATCTACCATACTATATATATCTTTTATAGATTTAACTTTTTACCAAAATAAATTTGTTGAGTTAAATGTTGTTAGATAGGTTTATCACGTAAGCTTGAACCATTTCAATGTTTTTGTAGAAAATATATCTATATTTAAATATATTATTGTGACTTATAATTTTCGTAATATGAATCAGGTTGAAAATGAACAATGTTTCTACTATTTTCAGTATCGTGAATTGAGAAACAATTTAAAACTGGTCAAAAATTAATACATCTGAATCTCTTGACTCCACCACGTTCATTAAAACTTTGAATGATTTCTCTAAATTCATTTACTCAACATGAGAAGAAGAAACGCATAATGAACCATATTCTACATTAATTCTAGTATAGAGCTTTTCAAGTCTGTATACCTTTATATTGATTCTACGAAACGATTTATATAATGTCTGACTGCTACTGATATGCTGCTTATATTCACTTTTGTCCTTATCTTTATTTGTTTAATGTCTTTTTTGTGTTTTTTTTCTTTAGTTGTTTTCTGTAGTTTTATTTTTATTTAATTTTTGTCAAAACTTACTAAAATTTTGCCATTACCATTAACATTTTTCCTTTTTAATCTTGCATTTACAAATATGTTCACTTTTTGGTAACTTGTTAATTACAACCACCACAGTTATTGTTAGATAATGGCTTCTATAAGCTTCTGCTCCCGGCGAAAATCTATAATAATTATTGTTATGTTGTCATTCACACATGTACAAATATTCTAAATAAAATACATGTATGTTTAAACCAATTCTAGCATACGTTAGATAGTATGATATTTATATTTTATGACATGAAAATATTGTAAACAAAAAAATATATTGTTTAAATTCAAATATAAAGATTCACAAAAAAGCTAAGCAACCGACGACAGCTTCTACCTTGATTTGGACATTGATTGGTGTCTCAGCTGGTTCATTTGTTTCTACAGATGTATTGACATTGCCTCTTATGTACTCTCTGTGTGCTATATTATGAACTGTTAAATTGCATTGTGCTAAAGGCATTGTATTTAAATGATTTATGCAATGAATCAAATTAGAAAAATTTGTTAAATTAAAAACACGGTAACATGTTTCTTTCCAAAAAAGCGAAGCAACCGACGACAGCTTCTACCTTGATTTGGACATTGATTGGTGTCTCAGCTGGTTCATTTGTTTCTACAGATGTATTGACATTGCTTCTTATGTACTCTCTGTGTGCTATATTATGAACTGTTAAATTGTATTGTGCTAAAGGCATTGTATTTAAATGCTTTATGCAATGAATCAAATTAGAAATATTTGTTAAATTAAAAAGACAGTAACATGTTTCTTTCCAAAAAAGCGAAGCAACCGACGACAGATTCTACCTTGATTTGGACATTGATTAGTGTCTCAGCTGGTACATTTGTTTCTACAATTATCGCAGGTGTAGTGGCATTTTTGTGTTGCAGATTTATCAGGTACTGTCTATATTTAATATTTTCAAAGGGGGATAAACAGCTTTATGTCAGTGTATTTTATTACCCTCACTTTTTTGCAATGTAATTTCCCATATGCCACTCTGCAAAAGCAGGTGTACCACGTGAATATTCTTGATAGGATCAGCTTTCACATATCATAACAGTATAAATTAGTTTGACGTGTTTTTATTCGAATTGAAATCACGAAACACAGCTTTTTGTATATTTATAAATGGTAGATATCATCATTTGCTTCATAAAACGTGCAAGGTAAAGACAGTTGAGTTATTGTTACTCTAGGTTCAATTTTATTACAGTTAGATTCAGATGAAATTTAAAATGGTTACACACGAGTTTGCGAGTATTAGTATATAAATAACACATGGGTTTGTGGGTAACAGTAAAAATACCATCCCGAGAAAAATACTTTTACTCGAGTTGTAGCCGAGGGTAACTGTATTTTTACGAGGGATGATATTTTTACTGTTACTCACAAACCCATGTGTTATTATCCTCCGCCCAAAGGCGGCGGGAGATATAGAAATAGTCTTCGTCCGTCCGTCCTTCCGTTCGTCCGTCCTTCAGTCCCACATTTTTGTCCGGAGCGTATCTCGAAAAGTATTTGAGGTATCAATTTGAAACTTCATAGGTGGATAGATCTCATTAAGGAGGAGTGCAGCACACAAGAATGATAACATACCCTGCATTTATTTGTCAGTTATTGCCCTTTGTTATTTTCAGCCATCAGTTTTCACATAGGTTTCAAATCTGTTATCACTTCAGCCATCAGTTTTCATTACTAAAAGACCTTTTAAAATTGTATTCTGCTTTGCTACATATACATTCTTCCAATGAGCTGAGCAAACACGTTCGGCGGGGGATGGCCATGTTAACATGGCTCTTGTTTATTTTATTACCCCATACTGTAATGATCTGAAATTTTCAACTTAACTGTAACAAAAGTAAACCAAAAGTAACAATAACTCAACTGTCCTTACCTTTAAAGTTTTAGGTTTACTGTAGGCCTATTTGAGAAGTTTATATATTTTATTCTTTAAGCAAGTGATGATATCTACCAGTCATAAACATACAATAAGCTGTGTTTTATTTAGAAAAAAAAACACTAACCCATTTTTACGGCTATGATCTGTGAACTCTTAGCATTCTGTATCCAGAATATTCTCCGCATGGTTTTTGACAAAATGTATTTACAAAATAACGTTGATGTCCTTTGTCTGTCCACCATATATGTAATGTTTCACTGATAAAAATTGTTAAATAATCCTTTGTTCCATGTATGCTCCACTTTGACACATGATAATTTACATTGCAATTACTTCGTTAAAACGGATGTTTACGTTTTGACTATTCAACAAGAGATATCTTATACGCGAAAAACACTCTAGGGTGCAAACAAATAAATTTAACGGGTGTCATAGTTACTCCGGTGATAAAAATGGCGGCCATTTCATTTCATTTTATGAAGAAAATAGACCACGTGACCAGATTTTATACGTAACAGTACACAATTCTTAGTCAAGTGGTACACTTGCATTAACAGTTAGAATAACTTCCAGAGGCCTATGGGAAATAACATTACGAAAAAAGTGAGGGGTAATAATAAAAATTAACGCCTCGGGTAGCAGTATTTTCCTCGAGATGATATTTTTGCTGTTACCCACAAGCCCATGAGCTGTTTATCTAGTATTACTGTTTATCATGTATCAACAGATCTTTTATGTTATTCGTTGTTCATGTTAACAAGTTGTTGTTGTATAGGTGTTTTCCACTTGTAAAAAGAATCTGAATAATAGAAAATATTATACTATGTAGTAGTGTAGTCAGTGCGTAAATCTAAGACAAATTTATTTCAGAAGAAGACAACATCTGAAACAGTCATCAAAACAAACAGTTGGTAAGGATATAATTAAATTATGAAGTTATTATCAACATTATCAAAAAACCAAGACTTTTTACGCTAATTAAAATACAGAAAACCAAAGTCCCTAATGAATGCCAAAAACAACAAAACTGATAATTTTTTAGGTCCTGTAAAGGATTTTTTTTTCAAACCGGATAGCATATATTAAACAAGTATTGAAATAAAATTACTTGAGGTGTCTTTTAGACATGGCTGTGATTTTCTTATATTGTCGTAAATATTTAATATAAAACATTGTTTATACAAGCAATTAAAATTTGTTTCTAAAACATTGTCGGCAATCTATTGACATACTGTGATACAATTTTGTGGGATGCCTTATTGTCTACGTGTAATAAGTATCACGTGTATTTTTAATGACTTCATTTAGAAGATATCCATGAAAACCAGCCCACGTTTAATCCTGATGAAATTGATACCGTTCACGAGTATGAAGAACTTGATGATGAACATCGTATTGATGATAGAACATACATGGAAATGCATACAATAAAAGCGGGCGATGATGCACACAGAGACTATCTTACTCCGACTCTTTAGTGTTTTACAGTGAGAGAGAGACCTTTTGTGAACAAATCCATGTAATATGTCCTTGATAAAATGTCATGACAAGTTCACCAATTTTCCGTAGAAAATGTGCGTTATTGTAATCATAGAACAGTATCGAGTCAATTTAGCCATTACATATGATCTCACTGCACTATATATCAGTTTTCTTGTTGTTGAATGACTTGAATTGATACAATAAATTCATTTTACAGTGAAAATACGCAAAATGAAAATACGCATTTTATTTCATCAAAGAATATGTCTCAATATTTCATTTAAAAGTATATAATAAATGGCTTTATTACACTCCTGTGTCGCGGTTTATGTGATAAATAAATATTCTATTTGTTGAGTTTTTTACGTATTTCAGACAAGATGATTTATAAGCATATCAATTTGATTTTGATATGTCAGTAATGTATAGACCCTTTCATTTAAGCGATAACAGACAGTGAAGAGTTACTTCCCTTACTGGATGTGACATAAATGGGGGATAAAACTATGCATGCGGCATAGAAAGTTAGCTTATTGAAAAGTTAAATGCGTAAATATTGATTGTTCAATTATGATTATAACCTTTTAAAAATTTACGCATGCATACCAAGATAATAGAAAAAAAATACAAAAGCAAAGATTGAGATTAATTCTCGCTACCACGGATTTATAAATCCGTGTCGCTACGGAGTGAAACAGCGAAATTTCAAAGTGAATATATTTATTAGATCTAGATTTTCTCAAATGCCAGGATAAAAAGCTAGTAACTGAATCAAATTTTAATATTTAATAAACACACATACACACTGAAATTGCCTATTATAAATTTAAATGGCCATTTTCTAGTTTTCTGTGTTATTTTCTGTCATTTAGAAAATTCTGGCGTATTTGTGACAAACCTGAAATAATATTGCCAATGTCTTTTAATGATTGTTTTTTCAAGCTTTAATAGAACAATAACAGAATGCATTATGTCAATACTTACTGATTCCTTTTCATTATGCCGAATAAAAAATATTTCAAAAAACCAGTGAAGGATATAATTTTATAAATATTCCGGAAAGAAAGAAAACCATATGGCATTGACTTTTATAATTTTAGATTTGCAAAGACGATAAGATAATTTTGATATTTAAAGTCTATTCTTTAAATACCTTTTCCCAGTAACTTAATGATTTCATAGATAAATAGATGTGTATATATAAGCGCCACTGGGCTGTAACATATTAATTTACAGGGTACATATGTTGTATACATACAAGCGGCACTTGGCTGTGATATCATAAATCACCAGGGTGCATTTTTAGAGTTATAACATAACATCAGATTACGTCACTTTTGTTAGTTGTCAAAATATTTATGGTCCGAATTTTGTTATGGATCATCCTAGGGACTTTATTGGTCATGCCTTACTGATTTGATACTCGATCCAGAGTCCTTCCAACTGGCACAGTTTAAAATACGTAAAATTATAATTCAGTTAATAACGAATTTCTGTGAACGTGTTTCACAACTTGTTTTTGTTGCCTTTTTGTGATTTTTTAAATATTTGATAAGCAGAGTATGAATTAAAAAGTATCAAGTTGAAATTATTACTTTACCCATGGAGTTAAATATATGTTTATATATCTGTGCTTTACCAGCTTAAATATATTGGTGTGATGTACGATTTTTTGAGAGTGCATTTTTTGCCGACACAAATAGTATACAGTCATGTAAATGTACATTCAAAACAATTTTTACTTTTTATGCCTTTACATTTTATTTTTGAAATTACATGGATTTATATTGTTTTCTTTTCTTTGTCTTAGTAATGCTTAAATCAAAATGATTTTTAATAAACCAGTATCTTTCAATTAATTATTACGCAGCCGTTTTTCGAAACTACAGAATCCTTACATTTTTGAAACTCAAAATATCTTTTGGGTATTGTATATTAGCAGAGACAAAGATACATTATCTATATCTCTGGTATTAGCAAGTTAGTACGATTTAACTGCCTGGTAAAATTTACATTATTAAGAATCTAACGAAAATGATAATCATGATCAGTTACCCAGGAATATGGTCTACTATTAAAACAAATCGTTAAACATATTATATAGTAAACATATTAATTCATTTCACCATCCTTTTATTTATCTTATTAAATTACACAAAATTTTGCCAATTTCAATCTGCCAAGCTTAAAAGAGAAAGGATTAAGATCTTAATATATCCCTCTATTATTGTACTTAATCGTATCGGCATTGTCCACCGTATCCCCCAATGACGTCATCCAAGGGCGACAACTTGAATATGGTCTTGAATGAAAGGGTCTATAGAACTTTTTGTTTTTAAAATGAATATTATAGATGCTAACAAATATATCCATTGTTTATGTTAAATAATGTTAAATCGAGATAAGGAAATTATGCAAACCCTGAGAAAAAAACGCAACTTCTAATGAAAACAAGAATATCTTATTGGTATATAACTTAATTTGACGTACTTATTTCAAGACATTACAATTTGAATGACCGACTTATGTACATGTTCATTACGACAATCTCGTATGTATTAAACTAGTTTGTTTTTTCTTAACTTTACATTCTATTGTGGTCGCCGTATCAATTACAATGTAGCACATGTTTATAGCTATATGAGAAGGTATACGATTACCTGATATCTTAAATACTGTCCTTATCGTGTATGCGACTTGAGAACAATATCGGTCAGAAGAGTTTTTGTAAATGTCCCTTTAAATAAGACAAGTTGTTGTTTTTTGTTGTTGTTGTTGTTTTTTTTTTTTTTTTTTTTTGGGGGGGGGGTTGTTGTTTATTGTTTGTGATTGTTTCTTGTTTTGTTTTTGTTTTGTTTTGTTGTGCTTTTTTATTTTAATAGCCAGGTTTCAATGTGATAGGTAGCTTGTAGACGTGTTATACGTTCTTATAATTACCGATTAAGGTCACTAAATATTCAAATGCATCGGTCAATATTGCATACTAATACTTGTGTTTTGATCGTTGTGTTATTGCCAATCATTTGAATTTTAGTCATAATATCTCACCTTTTTAACTATGATACCTTATATTTATAACTTGGGTAGCTCTCTACGAAAAACAAAAACAACAAACAATGCAAAAGTCTACAAAATTGCAAATGTGTCAAATGTGTTGTTCTTAATCTCGTTGTATTTTGTCATTTTAATATATAGTATTTAAGCTTTTCCGCTCGGATCACACGCAGATAAAGAGCTTTAGGTGTCATATCCCACCTCCCACTGTGTTTAAAATAGAAATAAACTGACATCAAGTGTCATAGTTAAATATTCACTATGTGCGTTATCTGGTTTTGACTGACATGCCTGAAATATAGATATGTCTCTAACATTTAAGTCAGTAACTGCTCTAAGTATGTTGATTTTATATGCAAAACTAGATCATGGTCAATAACGACTTTCTTTACCTTGCAAACAGGCTGCATTTGTACAATATTTGTTTATATCATTTTAAATAAGTATATCCTCTATGCTGAAGAGTTATTGTGTGTATTATATAAATAAACCCTGAAATATATTTTAGACTTATTATAAATGAAACTAAATACTGTGTATTAACGTCGGAAAACACGTTTGTACGACACTGACTTTATTTGTAATTAGTCTTTAATGGTGTCTGGAAGCCTCTATTGTTATGGGTGGCCACTTGGCTTCTACTCTAAATTCTTCCAAATAAAGCGGAACTAAGACTTGATTTTGATTTAAACATATTTTATTGCCAAAAATAAGACATATACATACATGTAGACAGTTACAATACAATGACATGACATATTTGGCAAAAGGGTTGACCCACAAGTTCTCTCAACATTAGCAACGGGTCTTCCCTGATGCAATAAATTACAATAACTTATTTTACAAGAATGACTATCAGTTAGATAGAAGTAACAAAACTCACACATATATAGTGTTTGGCTTTAAAAATGATTTTAGGTAAGAAAGAACAATAAAAGTGATTGGGTGTACATGTTCTCTAGCTTGAATGATATTTAACGATGTTAACTGATTTTTATATATTTGCGTTACAATGACTTAGAAAACATGTACATTTGCCGAATATAACAAAAACAAAAATAGATTTTGAGAAAATTAAATATAGAAGAAATAGAAGAAGAAAGGAAAGAATCTTGTCTATTGTTTTGCAAAAATGAAAGAAAAATGCATTAATATTTATTGGGATTGTGCTGGTTTGTTTTCAAAATCAAAAGCGTTTGCTTACTTTTATGAAATGCTGAACAGTCAAAAATATTTTATTATTATTTTCTAAAGACAACTCTTTGTTACCAACTAAAAGTAATTGGACATTTAAAGGGTGAAATTGCCTTAATTCGTTAAAAAGATCAATTCTCTCATTTCGATATTTCGGACAAGTAAACAAAAAATGGTTAACATCTTCTATCTCATAACCGCACGAACAATTTGCATCCTGTGACAAATGATTGCAGAATAAGTGGAAATTTAAGTTACTGCATGCATTTCTCAGTCTGCAGTGTAAAACTGAGAGTTTTCTTTCACCTGTAAGGTACCATTTTGGAGTGTCAGTAGATCGAAAGGTTGATTTCTTTAATAGAGATTTAAAATTTGACAGAGTTTCTACAGATCTTGTTTCAGGTTGCAAGTTGTTCCATAGCATTACGGACGAAGGCACAAAAGAAGAAGAAAATATATGAGTCCGTCTGTTTAAAGTTGCAAAGTCTTCTGAGTTTCTAAGATTGTATGGTGTTGTATTATGAACTCTTTCTGGAAAAATATTACTTAAATAATCAGGAACGTCTCCATTATGAATTCTATATGTTAAAATAAGTTTTTGGTACGTTCTTCTATCAGATAGTGAGAGCCAATTAATTTCTTTATATAAATTTTGGAGAGAAACTGAACGGGTTAGGCCGCTTACGATTCTGGCTGCCTCATGCTGTATTTTATCTAACGTATCTTTTTCATAATTTGTACACCCATCCCAGACTACAGAAGCATATTCTAAAAGAGGTCTAAGAAATGAAATGTAAATTTGGTTTAGGGTTTCCCTGTTAAGGGAATATTTCAGTTTTCTCATTATACCTAGTAATTTAGAAGCCGATAATGTTATACTTTTAATATG